GCAGGAATGAGAAAGGGCTTCTTAAACCACACGCTTTGGGGAACAAAGTCCATTAGATTTGGGGAGGGTGAGGGAGAGCCTGATAGATGCAGCTCCTGCTGGGAACATAAAAGTGCCAAAACAGCAGTAACAAAGCAGGAGGAACTGCTGAGAGGAGTCTATTCCAGTACTAAGGAAAGCAAGCCAGTTGAATTTCAAGAAGAATGATTAGGCTATGAAATATTTTCCAAGCACCTGTATGTGCTTGGGACGGGCATTAGATGACACGACCATTTACATTTGTTAACAATCTTACACTTATGATCAAAGGCTATCCAATTTACTTCCAGAAAAAGACACATATGAATAACTGACCAAAACCATGAAAGAAACATCAATGGCAGGGTTGGGAGGGAGATGCTTGCTTTTGTTTGACTAGTTTGGACTGATGGGTTTAACTGCTTATGGAAGGGAAAAAAATTGCATTTTCAGCAACAGCATGATAAAACCCAGCACATCTCACTTACCATCCTCCCTCTTTAAACAGCACTCACCTGAGTATGGGTTGTTAGCAAGGCTTGCATCTCTGCCTGTCAAGGTCGCAGGAGCAGGGAATGTAATTCCATAGTAATCCTTGGAAAGAGAAAGCATTGTCTGTTAATAGTTGAAACCATAACAGAGCTGGACAGCTCTTATGAACCCTGTATTACACACATAATAGAATTTAAAAAGGAAGAACTGAAGGAAGCTTGTGCAGAACCTGACCTTATTGTTTACAGCAGAGCTGAAGTTTTCCCTGGATCCTCAACTTCAAAATAAACTTACTTTACTGACATTTTTCTGTATTATATACAAATACTTAATCTCTTAATGGGAAGTTAAGGGCAACAACTAAATGCTTTCCTCTCCAAACCCTCAGGCTCATCTTCCAGCAAGATAGCACCTGGAGGAGCAACAGACCATCAGGGGGCCAAGCCCTGGGGTCAGGCCAGGACCCTAATCACAATGTGGATGTAGACTAAAAGGTTTTATCCTTGTATCATGCCCTGTTTTCTTTAAGTGAAAACGTCAGCTAGGAGAACAGCACGAACAGAAAAAAAATAAAAGATGGAGAAAAAGTTACTACTTCATGACTGGAAAATTTATTTCAACTACGTTACAGGAGACCTCAGATCAGTAGTCTCCAAAGTGCCAAGACAATCCATTGGGGTGCATGAAGAAAACGGTTTTGGTACCACTGTTAAATAAAAATTTAAAGATTTAAAACTAAGTGTTTGTTTAACCTTTTTCTCATCCTTTTTTTTAAATTTTCATTTTTGTGTATGTTTTATAACATACACAGCAGTGTATCGATATAATGCAGAAATAAAAATATGCTGGGGACAAGTGCTCACAATTTTTATTGCTGATGGGGTGTGTGATCAAAAAAGGTGGAGACCACTGCCTTAGATCCTTCCGCTAGGTCCTCTACAGGAAGGTAAGGCAGTCTTACACTACAAAGCTCGCACTCTGAGATGACAGGACATGCCAGCAAAAGCAGCACCATTTTGTCTTCAGTTTGGGAGAAAAAGAGAAGACCCTGCCCTTCCCTCCCTGGGTGAGCTGCACATGTGGGGCTAGTACTCTACTAAGTGTTTTTCCTTTTAATTCTCATGGTTTATTCATCACCACCTCCAATCTATCCAGAGTTAATGCTTTAAGCATGAACGTATCTGTTTCCACAGACTCTCAAACACAGGAAAAACATCCTCCTCCTTTATGCCCCTCTCTGCAAATTGCCCAGCACCTCAAATGTTTTCTTCAAATGCTTTATTCACCTTGCTGCATTTCTGTGCATCACCCCTGTTTCCTACATCGAATCCTCCATCACTGAACATTAAATATTCCAGCAAAGACTTAGTATTGCAGGTTCTTTCTGTAACTTGAAATGGTGCCATATTTCATCGTCCCTTCCTTCCCAGGTAATTCTACCTTATCAACTCTGGCATGAATCACTTAGCAAAACACAACCGATTCCACATTAAAAGTCTTATCAGGTTTCTCAGAAGCAGTGCTCCCATAACCTTCCAAGGAAAAATGCCACAAAAAGCAGATTTGGAGATGAGAACTGTACGGGATTTAGTGCATATGAACTGGGACTGACACATTGGCATTTTCCTCCTATATAAACTGGACAAAATATAACCAAATACACTTGAGAAAACTCACTAAGGATTGCAATTATTACGACTGTCTCTCAGGTGGGGGAAACCCACGTCAGCACAGCATATCCCTAAGCCACGCATCTGTGCATACATAAACTCAAAACAAAAAGTCATTAAAAAAATGTAAGTACAAGCCAGTTATCTTGGCACTTCATGCCAACCATAGGAAAACATCAGGAGAGTTACTCTGCTTTTCAAACAACATGAGTGTTTCCTGACCTACAAAAGGCACCTAAGAGAAGGTGCCTAAAGTCAAAACTGAAATATCAGGAAAAGACTCAAAAACTGAGAAAGAAAAGAACTACAATATGATAAGCCATCTGAGGTAACACATTTAAGCTCCACCAAGCGGCTCGCTAGGTACCACACACAAGTGCTAAGGCACTTGTAAGATCTCTCCGAGACGAAGCAGTGACGACACAAACTTGGTACTCTGCCCACTTTCACTTTCTAGATGTAAATGGAGCAGCGTTTCAAAACCAAAAATTCCCACGAGCCCCTGCCTCCCAAATACCTCATGGTACCCAATGTCTACAAAAAAATTAAAAGCACAGTAGAATACTAAAAAACCAGAAATCACAATCACTGCAAAAAGAGTTAATGAACCATCCCTGATTACATTTATGTGTTAATTGATAAATACAAAAACAATAAGGACAAATAGCTCAAAGGGATAAAAGGGATAACATACAACTTCAAAAATATTCTGAGGGATATTTGGAAAGAAAGGAAAAACTCTTCCATGAGTAAAGCTGCAAATGCTACAGAGAAAGAAAAACAAAAAAAAAAGGCTGATGATGAAAAATAGTTGTCAATAAAACAAAAAGAAAACCATGCATTCACTTACGTATACAAACAGAATAAGAGAGTGAAATAAGAAAACCATGTTGGTAGGCAGAAAAACTTGAAAATAAAAACAAAGACAGAAAAGAAAAAAGATGAAAAGGAAGCCCTGACACCTCCACCCACAGCTGCC